AGAGCCTTTCCAGCTCTCGAAGAGGTGCACGAAAGAGATCCCGAGCAACGTCAGCCCGGAGCCGGAGCACCACTCTGCTGCTATCAATTCCACGAAGCACCTCTGCTTCCGGCGGACCCCCAACACACCCGGCGGCACAGTCCTACTTGCAGCCGTGTTCCTTACCTTCACATGTGACGCCATTTATACCTCTGGTCGAATGACCGTACCGGTGCTGTACTTCAGCCCCCCAACAAAGCCACAGGCGACCTAACTGGTGGGCGAAAGGTCGGACTGTGGGCAAAAACGGCATCCGTAAACGATTGACATTGGTGTTAGTACGATTAAATTGATGCCAGTAGTAACAATAGCTCTAAGGGTGTATTTCCAGTCCGGATTAACGTCGCGGATTAACCCTCTGTCCTCCATCGATACTTGCTCAAGCGGCTAAGTTGTTGGCAAACTTACCTCGCCCTTTCAACCTTTGGTTCCCTTATGGAACGCAGCTATGTGGTAAGCTCGTACCAAGGACTTCCGTGCCTTAATCCGCATTGGAAATACACCCTAAGAATAGTATCGGGAGTCAGTCAGATCGGAGGCGCCGGCCAACTGCCGAACACAAGAGGCCTCATACAATAAATATTAAAGTTTTCTTTGAATTTAATCAAATATATATCTACTTTTGCACTTTCTTCTACTAGAGGCGTACTGCGATTATCGCAGTGACTCGGTGACTGTATTACAGTCACCAAGTCTTAAGGACAAATTCGATCGTTTAATTCAAGCGTTCTCATCGGTGTTTGGATTTTGTTCAGAGGTTGAAATGTACACCCGCCCACGCCCGCGTTTGCGTGTGGAATGAATCGAAGGAATCGGATGACTTCCCGTCTCGAATCGTTTCCGTAACGCAACTTTGACTTCTAAACACAAATCCAGAAATGGCATTACATATCAGGGTCCCAGTCGTTCAGCATTTATTCAAGAAAAGCCAGTACACCGTATTTGGCTTTCCCTTTTGAGATAGCCAACGGCGCGACCTTTTATTTTTAGCTTAACTTTGCACAACAGAGTTATCCTTAGGCTAAGCTACAATGTTAACTTTGTCCACTGGACCTTCCGGTCAACGGTCAAATAATTTAACACGGGCCCAAGCTAGTAAGTGGCATATACTTTCACAGTGCCCTACCTTGATTTTTTTCCAAAGCCAGCAAAGCGCACAGAAAAATAAAGTGCGTGTACATTGTTGAACAAGCCTTTCGCCAGAGTTGTAACCTCGATTAGAAACCTACCACAACACAGTAGTTTAGCTGCTAACGTAACTTTTTATACAACTCATGTGAGCAACGCGCATTTCGCTCGGCGGCCAAGTTAGCTAGGGTATCCGGCGCATATAATAACGGCGCATTGCCCGAAGGGGAGGCGCTATGAAGTGCTTCATCGGTCAATCTTTTTTTTTCCGGGCGCCTGTAGGCGGTGCAGCGGCCGGGTGAGATGGAAGAGTGCGCCTAGCTCAACCGCAAAGGCTTGACAGTTCTTAGTTAGGTTCAGTTCATATTAAACTCTCGTTGATCTTGGTCTTACAGCTTGGCCTTACGGAAGTAGTATGTGTGTTACATGGTTGGGGGTGCGTGACCCCATACCCGTAAAACTACCCATACGAGCCGAAGGCCCAAAGGGCAAGGATGTAAGTTAAGGAAGTAGTTATGACATCCTTAGCCATTAGCATACCCTTAGCCCTGGAGCTGCGACGCTGGTTGCGAGCAAGTCACGTTGTTTCCTCCGTAAGGGACAGCAAAAGCCGGACTCCGTTCATATGGCGATTTAGTTGAGACAAAAACACAATTTTCGGGTCTTAATGCCGTGCTCGTTGTAGCCATCTGAAAACCATTGGCTTTCCGCTTTCCCCCCATCTTTCCCTGCCATCCACCAAGGCCGACCAAGGGTTAAGGGGTCTTCCTTTCCTCGAAGGGAAGAATGAAACACCCTAGGCTGCGCTGAAGGAAGGGGAAGGTACCCTAGGGTGCCATCCCCTCCGCGTTTTTAAACCGGAGACCGAAAAGGGTAAAATACCTGCAAAACCTCTCTGGCACAAAGCGTGGACAGTGTGATGATGGCCGACTAGCTTTCGACATCCCATTCCCCAATCCCACACTGCCCTACTTGCCCATTATCCAGTCCTCAACCTCCACCACTTCCAACGCAACGCTTTGACGCCGTACAGCTGAACTTGGCCCATACGATTGGCTGTGGTCTTGCTTGTGGCTTGTGGGGTTGTCATGTGTGTGTGCGTATGTGTGTAAGGGGTGTGGGGCTGCGCTCGCTAAGCAGCGGGCGGGTTGTGGGGACCGCTTTGAGCGGTGAGCTGAGACTGTTGGTTACCGCGAGACAGTTGGTTAGTTTTTCTAACTAGTTAGTTTCTAACTGGTTAGTTAGAAAAACCACCTTGGCAGCCTCTGCCGCAGTTGCCATCGACAGGGCATAACTCTAGTGAGACATCGGAGAGGGCACGGGAAGGGCTGCGGCGGTATCAACAGTAGCATCAGTCGCAGTAGCAGGCGCAGTAGCAGCCGCAGTAGCAGGCGCAGTAGCAGGCGCAGTAGCAGCTGCCCCTCCCCCCAAGAGACTGTTCCGAAGGTCGTCATGATGCACATCGGCAATTTCTTCTCAAAAAGGAAAGCGTGTTATGGTACAAGTTGGGGCCACAATCCGACCACAGGGGAGGCAGGAGTCTCAGCGGAATTGGGAACACCCCCAGGGGGGAGGGGGGGAATGCAAGATAACACCTGCAAAATCCGACACGACGGCAGATGCTCGCTGCACACAACACGCGCGCATGCACACATATACACACACACACGACATACACACACACGCACACCGCCACAACCATAACACAACGCAAAGCTGCAGAGAGCTGAGACACGATAACACGACCCAACCGAACAGCGCCCACGACCACCACCACCACCACCAGTGCTCGGCTGGAATCCCCATCCACCACCGGGTAATCTACCCCTTACATACATACATACATACATACATACATACATACATACATACATACATACATACATACATACATACATACATACATACATACATACATACATACATACATTCGTAGTAAGTACAAACCGGGCTAACCGGCAAACATGAAGCGTGCAATAAAGCACGCAAGTCCTTATGGCCTTGTCACATAAGGCCCACCTGGTAGTACAACAATAAAACAAACAACAACAACAAAAATCAGTGCTGGCAACAAACCGCTGGCAATAAAACAAACAACCAACATTGGACGACGAGATGGACGAGATGCAAGATTGGAAAAACGCCTCCGGCCGCTTCCACACTTTGGCGAACTCCTCCACCCCGACATACACACACACACACACACACGACCCATCATCATCATCATCATCATCAACATCATCATCATCATCAACATCATAAAAACAAACCATACACACGCCCAAACAGCCCACTATCCCCATCAAAATTAATAAGCCAGAGTACTCAGGAGCTGCAGCACAGGGTGGGAGGTGCAAAAAATGCTCCAGCCAGCCGCCGCACTGCCGCCGCCACCTGTGTGTCGCAGCCCCTAAGAAGAATGAAGACCTGTCCCGTGCGCAGTGGCCAGATGGTTCATGTGTGTCGTAAATTTCGTCGTACTTCTCACGTACAATATACACCGGCTCTCCTCAAGCCGGCCAGCTCTTCGTGCTGCTTCCTTCCCGGTGTTCTGTGGGGCCCGAGTAGGAGGCCCGCGCCTGGGGCCCGCCGGGCCCGCTCCCCCCCCTTACACACACACACACACTACAGAGCCGCAAAGCCCGCAAAAGAAAAAGAAGACAACCATCACCAACTGCCCAGAAACCGACTTGCCTTTTGAAAACCGAACCACGACTCAAACGCGCTGCCGCCCTCCATCTTTGAGCTATCTCCTCACTCTCCTAAGGGGTTCCGCAATAGTTCTTCTTCTTCTTCTTCTTCTTCGTTAGGGGAAGGAGGCGAGGAAACGAACAGACCGAGAATCACACACTCGTGCAAAAACCGCGACGGCTATGTTCGTTGTGTACATGTTTGTAGTACAGGTACAAGGTACAGGTCGCTTTTCACATGCATGCATGCTGACGTGGCGATGGAGAGGTAGGAAGAATGGAGGGAGGGGGCGTGGAGGAGGAGCAGGGGAGGGCTCCCCCCGGTGCCCATCCCGCCAACGTCCCCTCATTCCTGCTTCCGCATATACATACATACATACATATGCGCACACAGGCATACAGACATACACATATACACATGCACCATGCCGCGATCCACCGTGCTGCGAGGCTATCCGTACTCTACACGTTAGGCGGAGGGAAGGGGAGGAGCACTTCTTCGACATTAAAATACGCACACATACATACACACACATACATACACACACACATACATACATACATACATACATACATACATACATACATACATACATACATACATACATACGTACATACATACGCAATGCGTACCTAGCAGTCCAGCACAGCACACTGCCCCACTAACAGAAGTACAGACCACTTGCCTTGCCTTGCCTCTCCCCACTTTTTTCGAACCTTCCCGCTTCTCCCCAACCAAGCACACCATCCTGCCCCTCCTCCCCTCCCCCCATGCAACTCCACACACACAAATACCCGTCGACCGGTGGCAGCCACTGGTGCGAGCAACACACACATACATACATACACACACCGGGGCGCAAACCAGCCATGTACGGCCGCATGCACCCCCTCATCTTCGTGCGCGCGCCATCATCGCCATATGGATCGAAAAACCCTTTCCCTCCCCTCCCTCCCCTCCCTTCCCTCTCGCCCGCAGGGAAGTCGCAGAGGCTTTGTAGGCGGTGGGTGTACGACAGCGGCTGAAGAGAGGCCGCCCGTGGGCCTCCCACCACCACCGCCACACACACACGGGCAAACACACACGCACACACACATACATACATACAGAAGCTATGTAACATCTTTCGTCCGTTGCTGCCGTTACTGCGAGCGCTGTTTCCGTACAGCTGTACAGACGTACAGACAACAAAGACACATGCAACTTGAGACTCAACGTACATCATTATAAGTACAAACTGAAACGGGAGCCGGACAAACCAGATCCAGAACCAGATCCAGAACAAGACACCACAGGACGAGACGGAGGATCGCGGGCCAGGGGGGCGCCAGGACGAGGCCGCGCATGTAGAGAGGGAGAGGAAGAGAGCGAGAGAGGGAAACAACGACAGAAGAGTCCAACGACAGCGCCATTACCGACCAGCCAGTACGGCAATTACGACAGCCAACAAAGCCACCATTCCACCGCCACTTACATTGCCACCCGCCACCCCCACCGCAGGTAGAGGGCCTGCTCGCCCGCTCGTTCTCCCACAACATCACAACACTGGCACCCCCACCGCCATTACCCC